AAGCGGGCTGCACTCTGTGCTGACTATGACCAGCATATGGTGCTCAAAAGGTCTCGATGTCATTGAACTGTATTCCGGTGCTGACTGAGGTCAAGCTAGAATAGCATCAAATGTCGCCATATCCAGGGAACAATCTCAAGCGATAATGCTAGTATACTACGGTTCTTTCTGCTTTCAAGAGCAGCAAGGATAACAATTGACTCGATATGTACATTTGTAGTTTGGGGCTTCCTATATAGACTCATCTTGAAGAGGAGTGTTTTCTTTGAAGCTCCGTTTCGACGCGTTGCTGGTCATTCAAAGCCTTTGTCGGCAGCCACTCGGTAAATCCAAATACTGACCTGGTACAAACCTTCAAGATCTTTATCATGCTTATTAGCTAAAGGGGTTTGGTCCCACCTATGGTATGAAGTAGACCATATCGGTTCATTGTCATCAGATGTATTGGAGACACTCTGCTACAACTGTTCAAGTGATTGACCCAGTCAGCGGCATCGTACTCGGCAAAGCTGATGTATGATCCGGGGCCATCTTTGACATAAGAATAGGCCTATGACAACCTAATAGACACATCATGACAAGATCATTATAAGCTAAGTAGGAGAGTCTCTCACATATAGTTGTTGGCATCATTATTACGATAAAGGTGCTTCTTGACCCACGCAATCATCTGGATAGCCACCTGCATCTTAATAGCAGGGCTATGGCCTACCTTGCACTCAATCAGTGCCTTGATCTTGCCTAAAAGCATTTTCTGACTTATTCTGAAGTTGGCCGTTTGCTACTACTATACTAACGTGTTTCCCTCTGTCCCCCTCTGTATCCGGAGTGCAATAAGGCAGGTCGTAGCAGAGCGGCACTCATATCGGGGTCCAGGATATAGTGTAGGAATAATTTAGATAAGCAGTACAATCCTACCCGTTGAGACTAGTCTCATCCAAGCTCTTTAGCGGGCTTTTCCCATATCGCGGGCCTTAAGGCCTTTCAGTACTTCCCGTTTTCCTACTAAGCTTGGATACTGCTGGACCTCTGCACAGCTAGATAAGATACTGTGAACCGTGCAAGATCTGGTCCGAACCTAGCAGCATCAAAATTGAAATGGGCTTATAGTAGATGGGATTATGATATGGAACAGAAGGACTTGTTCATGGGTAATGCGAGATCTGAGTCTTCGCATTGGTGCAATGCTTTGTTTATAACATTTGTTGACTCTGCCGCGGTGCTCTATTGGTGTATTGTCTCGGGAATAGAGTCGAAGTCCTTCGAGTTGTGTTGTTGTTTGTCTTAGTGTATGGAGGTCTCGCATTCTGCGACGGCGAAGCATCTAGTGGAGTACTGCATATGGTGCATTTTCCAATATTTTTAGCTCAAATATTGTTATAAAATATCATGGCATCGATATGTTGGGTTAGAATTGCGGCTGTTTAAGTCCGACCCTGAAGGAGGTCTTGGGGGAAGGAAGATCAGCAGAAGTGAGGCTTTATATAAGGCCACGCAGGCGCAGAGGATCTGGTGAAGTTCCTGGTTACGATGCATGTTCTAGGCTTATATGAAGAACTCTAGTGAAGCAAGAAAGCATTGATGCCGTAAGAACTTCACTAGTTCTTAAGAGCTTCATCAACTGAACAGTCGTTTGGGAAGAGCCAATGAATGAGTCTACTTGGGAATACTGAATGTGAACTTTGACACCACAGAATCTTTGAAGATAATTCTCCCACCAAGAGTCTCTCATTAAGATGCTTCATGGACCCTTAGCAACGTTCATAAGAAGCCTTCCAACTGACAGTGCAATACGGGCGATTACCCCAGGATTTTCCAGATGCGATGACTAACAGTAATCGCGTATCTCTCATTGGCTGCACTGTGTATCAATCTGGTATCCGTATGGCTGCCCCACGGCTCCGGCAGTTCGGCATCCACGCCTTACCCGATCGGGGCTAAGTCAGGCCGGGGCTGCAAGTAGCCGGATATGTTTGCGATGCTCTCTCCTCACATCTCTGTTCTTCTTCATCTAAACAAAGGCGAGAATTGGCCACATCATGTCCCGCCAAAGATTGACTATTTGAGCCATCTTATATACCAAGTCTCTAGAAGTACCATCATGGTATTGCGAAAGTGTACCATATGCGATCGACGTTTCAAGAAAACGGAGCATTTCAAGCGCCACGAACGCTCACGTAAGTCAACCGACCTGCATATTGTTGCATCCCGCTGACGTCTAGTAGATACTAAAGAGAAGCCCTATGAATGTAATGTCTGTCATAAGCGTTTCTCACGAAGGTATCAAGCTGTGGACTATCTTCACCCCTTGCACAAATCACACTGTATCTTGCTAACATAATTGCAGTGATGTCCTAAGTCGCCATGCTAGGGGACACAACCAACCAGCTGCCAATGCGGCGGTTACTAGACCAGGTGCTCGTCTTCCTGCCACATCGACCAATCAGGCCCCAGCTGATCGGTCGTCAACAATGACAGCGGATACTCAGAACTACGTCCTTGGTATCGGTGCGGAGAGTGCTCGCCCGCTCCAGCATGGTTCGTCGGCGCCTCATAATTCGGCATTTTCTGCGGCTCTCGATCAGCAGTCGACTTCCTTGGACTTTCTTGCCAACGTCTCGGCTCATCAGCCTCGCACCGAGCCAATAGCCAATCAAGTCATGGCAAGTGAGCATCAAGAGTATCTTGGCTGGAATGATGTGCCTGTTCCGGACCAACAATGCTACAGAGGCACTATGCTTGATCCATTGCATAACGACATACTGCAATTTTGGCTGGAACCGCAGGGAGACTCGATCTCACAGCAAGGATCAATAGATCTCGGGGGGAACTCTAATCTCGGCATGTTAGGAGGAGCCGTTGCTTCCTCAGAATCAAGACCATCTATTGGTAGCATGAGCTTGAGCTCTGGAGGCAGTATTCCAATTGAACGGTTTGCCCGTGTTCAGCGCTATTGGCTTGCTCCATCCAACAACACTGGGCGGCTCATGAACAGCTTATGGCACGATATAGCCTACAGCGAAGAGGACAATGTCTTTGCTTTTAGGCCAACCCACTCTTCCAGCGGCCCGTCAGGTTACCTGCAGGGGTCGAGGTATGGCGTCGATGAAGAATGCAGGCAGCGTCTTTATACAATCTTCAGTCAGAGCCGAGGCCAATTTCAGATGCGTTCGTCTGAGAGTACCGCAGTGTCACCTTTTACCCAACCACCGCGCAACAACTCCAATTTTCCTCCTGCGGAAATCCTAGATATGGCGCTAGATCTATTCTTCCGCGACTTCCACCCACTGGTGCCGTTTATCCATGTCCCAACATTTTCTGCGAAAGATGCCCGTCCATCTTTGCTCTATGCCATGTGTCTGATTGGCATGGTCCTGTTGGGAACCAAAGGCACGTTAAACTTTGTCATCAATAACTTCTCGGTATGACCAGAGCCTGTTTGCAGTGTGCTTTGCTAATTTTTCGTAGTCGATGCTCGAGAGTATTACAGCAGATTTAGCGAAATGTTCTGTGGGGGTTGAGGGCTCTTTATCCACAGTGTCTACATTCGCAGCTGCTTTTCTGTTTCTGAACCTGGCTGCCATGACAGGGGTAGGTATATCACCGCGAAATGAAGACTTATACTGACTTCTATAGGAAAAGGAACACCTCGAAAAGTGCCAGATGCTCTATGTCAATCTCATATCGGTATGCCATCTCATGGAAATTGTAGAATACGACTGACGCATGAATAGATTGCGCAGCGACATGGACTATTTGCAGCTAGGGAAGGGCAGGTGCTTGACGCGAACTTATTCGATGCAATTCCTAATACTGAAACACGGTGGAAAGCCTGGAGCAAGGTCGAATCAGTGAAACGGTGAGTTGCACAATCATGCAGAAGAGCATCTGCTGACATCACAGGCTTATAACTGGACTATTGCTACTTGACTCTTGGTACTCATCATTCATGTCTACAAGTCCGATCATCGTGCCAGACTCTGTCCAAATGATACTCCCGTGTGAGGAAGCGCTCTTTCGAGCTACTTCCTCCACTCGCTGGATGCAGCTAAGCGACAGCGACAAAGTCAGGTTGATGCCTACAATACTGATGCCATCGGAGAATGTCGACGTTCCAACACTTCACAGCCCGGTAGATGATTTCTGCATGTATGCAGTGCTAGCAATGGTTCAGTCGAGGCTTTCAGAAGCCTATTATCGACTTCTTTCGAATCGTGCCAGCTACCCCTTCGCCCCGTGCAACACATACGCCATGGACGGGCGTGCAAGATGTCTACCATCTCTTCAGCTCCAGCTGACAAGCAAATATGGCGACGTGCTCGACCGACTGAACCCCAACGCAGCCGTCATGTGGCACAACATGTGCATGACGCTAACAGCAGACACTCAGATCTTCGACATGGCAGCTGGTCGTTCAGGCCCAGGCCCTGCTCGGAAAGCACTCGATGACATTGCAGCATGGTCGCAAACCCCGGCTGCCAGACGGGCTTGCTTGCATGCGGCCCACATCTACCGAGCCATGACGAACCGCAGGGCATCGGACCATACAATGTTTCACTCTGTGTTTTCTCTCTTCTACGCAGCACTGGTGTTGGGTCTTTACGTCTTCATGGTGCCAAATCCCTCTGAAACGCAGCGGGGCGGGAACTCCATCGAGCTTTTCGACGATATTGATTGGCAGAAGGTGGGAACAGAGGGATTCACCAGCTTCATGGAGCCTCGAAAAGGTCAACCTTTTCCACCGTCTGAAGAACCAGCGTTGGAATTTATTAAGAATGGCGGCACGGTATACCTACGCGGTGTTCCCATCCAAGGAGGCTATCAAGCAGCCCGCCGCATCCTGCTCGACTACGCGGGACTGCTAAAGGATACGGGGAAGTGGAGCGTACGAAAGTTTTCGTATGTGCTGCATATCATGAGCGATGTGCTGATGGATGTGGAATGACCACTACATCAGAGCCAAAGCCATCAACTGCGTTACGATCTCATTTATAAATACGACAGCATGTATACCAATTTATGTACAATATGATGATCCACAAAGTGGGAATATTTTATACCCACGACCGATTCTTAACCCTCTCATTCAACATCTCCAACTCCTCCTTCGAAGCAACCACCCCCATGATCCCTTTACCAGCACCATCATCCTTCTCCATTTCCTTCTCCCCCGCCAACACAACCCTCAACCCATCATCCCCACCCTCACCGTCGCACTGATTCCCCCTACTTCTCCCCCTCGCAAACCACAACCCCTCCCCATCCTCCCTCTCACTCTTCACCTTCACCAGACCACCATTCTCAACCTCTTCCACAACCGCCCTCTCCCCAGCACTACTCCCCCCTTCCGATGCTGTCTCTTCCTCACTCTCCCCCGTATATTTAGCCACACTAATGCCATTGCACCTCGCATTCGGCATATGCAGCACGTCATGTAGCACAAGGGTATTTGTGCGAGGGTCGTCCGGCGCCCTCTGCACTCGGAGCTGGACTGTGCCTACGCCCAACACCCGCTGGTTAGCGATTTTGCATGGTGCCCGGCGGTAGCTGCTGAATGAGGAACGGTTTTTGGCGATGTGAGTATTGCTCGCCGGGGGAAGGAGCAGCCAGGTGAAGCAGCGGTTGCTTTTGGAGGATGATGGAGAGGAGGGGGTCTTGAGGGCGGAGGGGTTCGGGGGTTTTGTGGAGGGGTGGTGTTGACGTTGGCGTCGGTGCGGACGTGAGCGTTGTTTCTTGGTTTGAGCGTGGTTGGGGATGGTGTAGGGGTGGTAGGGGTTGTAGGAGGAAGTGTGTGGGTGGTAGTTGTGGTGATGTGGTTGTTGTAGGTGGGTGGTCATGTTGGATGAGTATATAGTAGATAGCAGATAGCAATAGTATAGATGAATATGTAATAGAAGAGAAGTGAAGCGAGAGAGAAGTATAAAGTGAAATAGTCAATTCAATCTTTCATGTAGTATAATATAATAAACTATGATAGTAGAGATCACACTGCGGAATGTGAAAAGGAAGATAACATATAAGTACTCACAGTATCACAAACACGCGTAACCCGTCGATCCAAGTCCGGGTCTGGACTTTGACCTTGAGTTGGGGGATCTGCTTTGCAAGGCGTGGCAAACAACCCGTCCCTTCCGCATCGGGTAATTCCTCGCTGATTGTCCTTTCTAGATCCCTCCGTATCTCCTCATCACTTCACCATATTTGACGGAAATAGAAAACTAAATGTGATATGTCAATTCAGGTACAGTATTTCTCTTTATAGATAGATAATATGATCCTTCTACTTCACAACATTATTGTTGGAAAAGATGCTGCGTTTCTTAAAAGGGTATCTATTTGCCCAGAGTCTTGACGTAGCCGATGGAGAAGCTTAATCAGAGGTGGAGTCCAACGCGTCGTCTCTGATGGTGTTCCAGCCATGCTAAGCCTGCGGAACAAGCCTCATTTGACCTTGGTTATGTGAGGTCTTTGTTCGATGCTAGAACTGCCAAGTAAGCCTTGTAGCCTTGTCTAGACTGTGGTGGCGATTCTTTGTCTGTCTGTCTGTCTGTCTGTCTGGTCTTTGTATGCGTGTTGTTACTACTGCAGGCTCCACTTCGTGATACGAATTTTAGTATGATATGTAACAAGTATGCCCATACAGCTACGCTCTATATACATAGGGATAATTTAAAGCTCAGTACAAGATATCCCTCACCCTCTCCCCAATCGCCAAACAACTCGTCAGCCCCGGACTCTCAATTCCCAACAAATTTACAAACCCCGGAAACCCTTCCTCCTCCTGAATCACAAAATCATGAAACCCCTTGCCCGTATTGACCGCCCCTCCCTTCCCCAACTTAGGCCGGATTCCACAATAGTCTAGATCAATCGCCTCGACATCCACATTAGGCAAATACGCTCTAATCTCCGGTAATGCCTGCTGCAGCCGCGTCGGACTCGGCTTCAAATCATTCGGGTCCTCCACCCACTCGACATCCGGCCCAAACCGGATCCTGCCGCCCATATCAAGGGTCAAATGAGTGCCCAGACCACCCGTGCCCGGCAACGTAGCCGGATACACCAGCACCGACGTCTTCGGCGTTGAAGCCGAGTAAGAGAAATATGTCCCCTTGGCAAAATACGCCTTGCGATGCCGCTCAGCCGGTAACACCATGTTATTGATCGCACATGCCCCATTGCCTGCACTGTTTATCACCGTCTCGGCCGTGATGGTCGTTTCGCTCCCGTCCGCGGATACTGCGCTAATCCGGTATCCGCCACCTTCGCTAGCAGCAACGGGTTCAATGCCCGTCACCTTCGTCATGAACGCACAATCCCCTCCGCGGTCTTCGAAATCCCCTTGTAGATAGGTCATCAGGGAATGACTGTCAATGATGCCGGTTGTCGGGCTCTCCACGATGCCTGCGAGGGCGCGCACTTCGGGTTCGCGCCGGCGCGCTTCTTCCTGCCCTAGGATGCGTGTGGGCACGCCGATTCGTTTGGCGTGTTCGTGGACGCGGAGACAGGCTTCCCATTGTTCTGGGGTTTGGGCGACGATCCATTTCTTGGTGTTGCGGTGCGGGATGTTGTGTTGGGCGCAGAGTGCGTAGAGGAGCTCTTTGCCTTTGATGCAGAGGGTGGTTTTGAGGGTGTCGATGCCGTAGTAGAGGCCTGCATGGATGACCTATTTATAAAAATATTGCTTAGCTTTATTCAAGAGAATGTAGTTGTATTGGCATAATCGAAATCTGGAACGGTACCTCTGAATTGCGACTACTCGTCTCCGTCCCCGGCGCTTCATGTCTCTCGAGTAGGATCGTCGATGTGCCCTCCTTCATGGCGAGTTGGCGTGCAACTGCCAGTCCGACCACCCCTGCGCCTATAACCTTAACAGTGATGTGTTAGATTGCTGTTTGTGTCTGAGTCGAGAATGTAGATGGATGGGTGCTGGTAGGAATTGGTTACCGCATGTGTGACGTCGGCCTTGGAGGCGGCGGTGCTGGAGAAGGCGCGCCGCGATAGAAGACGGCCATTGGGAAGAGAACGGAGGATACGAGTGGCCATTGAGACAGGGTGGCTCAGTGGAATCATTGTGACAATGCCTGCATTGTACGGGGGTGCGTTGTTGGCGTGAGGAGAAGCACTTAAGTGGTTGTTCCCCACGCCGGGCGGAGTCGGCATCGGCGCCGATGCCGATAAGCTCTGCTACTCTCGTTATCTTTTGGGATGTTCCTGGCCGGATACTTGGTTGGTGGGGATCGGAACATGGATTTCAAATGTGGATCAGGGGTATTTGATTGAAAATACTCTCTGTTCTATTATATGGGGTAGTCGCTTCTATGGATTATATTGTCGTACAGTAGACTATTTGGGCGTGCCGTAATCGGCGATGGAATATACAATGGCCCATCTAGACACCAACCCAGCGTGGTCTATGAAGAACGTCTATCAACTAGCCACGCTTGCCTACGTTCTTAAGCATGTCTTCCAAATGCTACGTAGCGTTAGTTCGATCCTTTCCAGTGGCAATGCAGCACATACCTGTTTCTGTTCGGTGGCTAATTTGCCATGGGTATCCTGCATCCGTCAGCACCAGTATCCGCAGCGGATCAATCGACTTACACTAATAATAGCCAGAACAAGTGAGTAATTATTGTAAAGAAACCTCTCCCTCCGTTTGGCGTCGCCGCCAATCCGGCTGAGCTTCGTCAGAAGGTTGTCAAACTCTGTGGTCAACCGACCCAGACTATTGGAAACCGGCTCATCATCCCCAGCCTCACTGCTCAGCACCAAAATGCCGTGCAGAAGCTGTCCAAACCGCTGAGTGAGGAAATGAGGTGCGGATGACTTGTTGAGGTCGTCTCCTCCGGCAAGAGACAACGCAGAAACTGCACTACGGCCGGTGTTCGCTGCTACCCGCTTCAGGGACTCGCACTGCGTGTCCATGATGACCTGGAACCGAGGCCACAATTGCATGTTGGTACCGTTGACATATGAGTCGGCCACTGGCACCTTGCGCCGCTGCAATTCAAAAGCGGCTTGCTGGTTCAACCGCACGCAGATCAGAACTCCAAGCGCATCCGTAGTCTGTTCAATCAGGTGCTTGGTCAGGGCCTGCCCAAGGGTGAAGACTGGTTCGAAGATCTCAACAGCCTTGCGAGATATTTGTTGAAAGCCCAATGTGGAGAACATCTCGGTCATAAATGAGTATTCGGCGGAAACGTTGTCTAGGAGAGCAAGGTTGAAGTTACGGAAGGGAATTTCGAGCCCGTGGAAAGCATTGTCCTCCTCTGCCAAGTAGGAAGATATCGCCATTTGGTTACCCGCCCTAAGTATGTCGACTCGCCTGCCGAGAGAGAAGGGGTCGTGCGCCGCAGAACCAGCTCGGCCGCCGGGAACGATATTACCTGTGCCAGTTAGTACCAGTCAGATCATGCACTGAGTGGCAAGCCCGAACGCACCTGTTTTATGTGAGGTTGGGTCCCCTCCTAATACCTCGTTCCGATCACTCGGATAGACCTTGATCTTCTCGAGTGCTTGGTGATACCTTGTGAAATGCGACAGGTAATACCATCGCATCGTATTGATGTACGCCTGGGTGATTTCTCCCGTAAGAGTTGGGTGGGCTCGTGATATGTAGCCGTACAAGTCCTTAAATTTGACTAGTCGCTGCTGTTGGATGATCTGCGCATTGATATTCGGAGATCGTAGGGCTCGAATTTGAGAGACCAGGTAGTCCCTGATTCGTTCCACTGCCTACGTATTTTGTCAGTCAGTTTGTAAAGTGAATCTACATCGGAAGCAGTACCTTTTTCTTGATATCACCCAGTAAAGGCCGCACATCTTCGATAGACTTGCTACTATTGGTGCCTGAGGCCTTGGCCTCGATGCTAGCCGTCCGAGTTTCAATCTCATTCAAGGCCTTGACCCAGTTCTCATCAATAGGCCCCTCGGCCACCAACCGGACGGTCTTCGGAGACAAACTGATTTCTTCCACGGCAGGACCAAGCAGCTGTTCAACATTCCGCCGATTCTCGAGCATCGCATTCAGCTGTATAGACCGAGATTGCAAACTCTCAATTTCTGCCGATACAGCTCCCAATTCATTCTGAAAGTCATTCAAATACATTTCAACTGACTTGGAGACGTCATCACAGCCAGTGATTGCCGAGTGCAGGTCCTGGAATTTGTCCCTTTCTTTCTCAAATTGCTGGATGGTCTGGGCACCGACATCGCTTTTCCAAGCTCTTCGCGGTTGATCTTCTTCCGCGATAAAGTCCTCCAGGCTGAGTCCATGAAAATCAATGTCTTCCACGAGCTCCGGGGGTTTCAGTTCCGCGACGGACGCTGGAGAGCTGTCTCTTGTTTTGCCTTGTTTCCCAATGATCCCATTCAAGACTTCGAGCGGATCAGCGACATCGGATGGGCGGGGTCTTGTAGCACTCGGTTTTGGCGAGGATCCTTCGCCCCGCGCAGGCGCAGAGAGGGAGGTAGACGAATCATTCGGGGTCGACAAGAGAGACAACGCTGAACCTTGGCGACTAGACGCGGGGCGATTGTTCTGAGGGGTTGGAGCCAAGCGAGAAGAGGTCCTTCGAGGCAAGGGAGAGCTGCTGCGACTATCGAATTGGGGACCGGAGGGCGTCGCATGGCCCGAAATGCGGTCTAGCCACATCTTGGGAGGCCGGCACGGAGAAGCGTGCGGATAGCGGAGAGCTCCCCGGGGTTCATCGAGGGGTGAGGTAGAGGGGTGAGGGAAGTTCTCCCAGAACACAGGTGGGTACTGGGAGATGTTACAGGGCGGCTAACATTCGAGGAGACGGAGATCAAGACCGAGACCAGGCTGATAATGTCGACAGGAGATAACCAGTAGATAACTACTGCTACTATAGTGGTTAGGAGTATACGTGGAATAGCAGGCCGAGATGCTACGGCGAACTGCAGCAACCGCGGACGTGGTTTGTCCGAGACTAGGCCGGACTGGGACTAGCGACCACAAAACCCCGCCACAACCAGTGCCTTTTTTTCGCAGTCCATTTGTCGATTTCTTTTCGCCTGTGTCCCCCTCTTCGTCCTTCCTTCGCTTTTTTCTCTTCCTTTTCCTCTAATCTCCTCCTCAATTCCAACATCCTCCTCACCTCTCCCTTTCACTTTTTACCTCATACCCCCTAATATCCATCACCATGGCTGACGAGGTAGGTGCTAACTCTCCTTCTGCGAACTTCCCGGTCTACACAGTTGCGGCCTATCTTTGTCCTGCTTGCTCGGTTGGGTTGGATGTCTTCGGGGCCTCGCATCTTGATCGCTGCCCCCCACCCAACCCCCCTCGTTCCTGCAGACATTGCATGTTTTGCTACACTCGCCGACCATCTGCTATTATTTCAATCATAGGCTAGTTCGCTAATGTTCACCTTTAACAGCACCACGAGACCTTCGAGTCCGCCGACGCCGGCGCCTCGGCCACCTTCCCCATGCAGTGCTCTGCCCTGCGCAAGAACGGTCACGTTGTTATCAAGGGCCGCCCCTGCAAGATCGTTGAGATGTCCACCTCCAAGACTGGCAAGCACGGTCACGCCAAGGTCCACATCGTTGCCATCGATATCTTCACTGGCAAGAAGCTTGAGGATCTGTCCCCCTCCACCCACAACATGGACGTCCCCAACGTCTACCGCAAGGAATACCAGCTCGTGAGTAGTTTGGAACATGAACGGTCTTGGTGATCTTGACTCGCTAACACGGCTATAGCTTGACGTTACTGACGACGACTTCCTTTCCCTGATGGACGAGAACGGTAACACCAAGGACGACGTCAAGGTCCCCGAAGGTGAGGTGGGCGACCGTATCCGCCGCATGTTCCACGATGAGGAGAAGGACTGCAGTGAGTAACACCCGTCCGTTTTGGCTAGGTGGCTGTTGGCAAGATTACTGACGGATTTTCCTTTTCAGACGTCACCATCCTGTCCTCCATGGGCGAGCAGGTCTGCATGGATGTCAAGGAGGCTCCCAAGGGCAACTAAATTATTGTGTCTATGGACCCTTAACTGCTCTGTCATCCATGGTGTATTTGAAGAGCCTCGCTCAGCTTTGCCCTTGGTCAGGTGGATGATACGGCCTTTTGGGCAGCTGCGGCGCCACGTACTCTTATATCCGTCTGTTTAGCCTTGGGTATACGCTGGGCCGGCCATGATGGTCACGTTAATTTGGCGGCATAAATCCTGCCTTGTCAGAGAAACAGTTCTTGAGTTCAGCACTTTCACGATAGTTTGACGAATAAAAAATAACTACCTTTTCTCCCAACCCAATATACTCGGATGTCTTTGTAGACAAGATAAGCACCGTACTAGTATAGATCCGCTATTCTGAGATGGGCGTGCATAAATCCTACGGAAACACTGAAGAAGCAACCTTATCGCAAAAATAAAGGCTACGCAGTGGGCGATAAGGCGCGATGCGGATATTACTTTTTCGGGTCCTGCATCAACGGTAGAAAAAATCTGACTGGTAACGATTTCTGGTAGCTGCGCTGACCCGCTCCGGAAGACCCAGGCCTTCTGTTCCTCCACATCCTCTGGACAAGGAAGAATGAAGAGCGCTGCCCTGAATGGAGTACATCACCCGAGGGGTTTGCGGGCAGGAAGGGTGCCGTGAACGACGGTATTACCTGGATAATGGCCTGTGGTTCTGCAGGCGGGGTCATCAACAAGAGGTCTGATCTTCCCCTCTCCGCGCCCCTCACGCATTCTACACACGCGACCGATCAGCCCACTCATTTCTCATTCACCGCGTAGGGACGTCAAGTCGAAGAAGATCCTGAAGACTTTAATACACAAGGCCGGACAAGTCGCGTAAAGAAGGCTGCTGCGGAGAAGTCTCAAAAGAGTAAGAGAGCCCCTAACCTACCATAACTACTATCACCACCCACCATCACCATTACCATCATGGTTTGGAGGTGACGCGCTCTCCACATCAGCTAATATCGGTCAGCATACCGGGGACGCCAGGCGTATAGTCTATTTCTGCAAGTCTACCAATTGATCCTCTGGAAGCAATGTCACGCGCTCGTCCATCACCGCGGCTTTCCGTCACAGTTCGAGGTATGCATGGCATAGCCCCCTTTGGGAAACCACTAACGAAGCGGCTGACTGATGCGGGCATAGCCTGTCGTTCGCGACCTTTGGGCGCTCCGATTGGAGACATACGCCGAAAAGATTAATGATCCTTCAGAGCAAGATGAGGAGCCCGAGTTCTTCAGCTCGCAAGTAACCTCGGGGCTTGATGGCGCCGAGGACATCAAGTTCAGAGGAAGGCAGGCTACATGGCCTCGCCTTATTGATAGCATTGCTCTGTGCTATCTAGGTGCTCTGTTAATGAGGCTGCCGGTGGGTGTTGGGGATTTTTATCGGTGGGTAGTTAAGCATGAACCACTTTGAATGTTGCAAGGGCTAAGTGAATGTTTAGCATGGTTATGCGTGGCGAGGTTCCTTTCATCAGAATTGTAAAGGATATTCCTCGAGAGATGAGAGATAGACTACCACAAGAGTTCATCTCCATACTTGAGACCACGGTGAGTGCCTATGATAAGTCAGGAATAGATGGCTGTATCTGACTATATGATAGAGGCTACTCCAAGCCGAGCATCTTCACGGAGCTGTCTCGGACCTTCTGCTGCTTTATCATGGCAAATTCAACATGCAATTTCCATCTTTGAACTGGCCAGTCATGTTATATAAATACATCAAGAGACTTGCGCTTCCTCGTATGCGGCGCCCCATCTTCAATTATTCTCATTCGTTAACCTACTTCCAGTCGATATCTATCCAGCCGCGAAGAAGTTGCAGCATCTTCTAGGGTTCAACTTCGAATTCCCTACAAGCATCTCTGGAAGGAGAAGGCCCCTCCAACTGCCCGAGCTGCAACTGGTCGCTCTAGTTGTCATCTCCACCAAGCTTCTATTCCCATTTGACGATGTTGAAAGATATCCCACGAACATAGAAGAGCCCACAGTGCAAGTGATCGATTGGAGTCTTTGGTCACAAATACAGAGGCATTTTGACAATCGAGAGACGCCTGCGGGTCAGCTTGGCAAGGGAAAGGAGATATTGGTGACTGAGAGAGACGTCTTCAGCATGACGCCGTCCCAGCTCGACGAGTATATGGATTGGTACGAGAATAGTTGGCTTGATGCGAGTAAAGGTGAGACATATGCCACATTGTTTTCTTCTCAGTGCTGAACAGTGTTCCAGTATCAAATCCCCTCGCAGATCTCTTTCCGACTGGTCCAAGTGCTGGGGAAAACCAGGCCACAGCTCCTACTCCAGAACTAACAGATGAGGAAGCTCTTGATGAATTGGTCAAGGCGTCCACAAGCCAATTGAGAGCAAGACAAGTCATTGCAAAGGATGACCTGGACACCCCCCGGCCGGGATGCTCTTACACGCGGTATCGAACCGAATCTGATCTTCCGGATACTGCGAAGGCCTTCTACGAGACAGCTGCCAAGGTAGCCGGCGTTTCCATATCTACATTGATTAGGGCTGTATCACAAGCAGAGAATCAAATCAACCGGTGGCTGGAAGAGCAGCGCCGGGTTGAGTACTTTGGATCGATGGGCATGGAATTCTCTCAGGAGTCCAGTGCGGATTCAGACAATGACGAAGAGAGTATGTCTGAGCTGGAGGATGGTGAGTGAAGTTGAGCTTGGCGACCATATATACTGGGAAACTGAGCCAATTGGGTCCCGGCCTTGAAGTAGTATATAAACATCAAAAATAGAAACTTCAGAAATCGTTAGTCATTCATGGTCATAGGTTTTTCTGCATATTAAAAAGGCTGGTGGAAGCATTATTTTCGTATCACTGAACATTAATGTCGTGTCGAGCATCATGAAAGCACAATCACAACACGGACCGCGGACCACGGACCACGGACAGCCTCCAACGTATGCATGATGCTAAATGGATGATGTAAAAGTAGTAGTTAGGCTACGGGCTATGGAGACTGCGGAGAGGCCCCGAACGCGGCCGGACTGCCCTAAACCCTGATCACGTGCGGTCCGTTCCACCTTTGCTAAGCGAGAAATCGTGAAATTGACATCGCCTCATCCGACCGACCTTTCAGCCGATCGTCAGCCAGCAACAACGAAAACCGCAGCCAGTACGTATACCCTCTTCGTTCGTGAATGCGAAATGCGTGTTCCCTGAAGTCGCAAACTAACATGTCGTTTTTTCCGCGTCTCTGCAGTGCAGATGTAGGTCATTCCAAGTCCCCTGGCAACCACTCGTCGAATTACGGTCGAATCCCGGAAGATGGCACGAATATATCATCGAAAATGAAATAAGGAAACTGACCCAGGCTCTTCTCCGATTAATAGTTTCGTCAAGACCCTCACGGGTAAGACCATTACCCTCGACGTCGAGTCGAGCGACACCATCGACAACGTCAAGACCAAGATCCAGGACAAGGAGGGTATCCCCCCGGATCAGCAGCGTCTTATCTTCGCTGGTAAGCAGCTTGAGGATGGCCGCACCCTGAGCGACTACAACATCCAGAAGGTATGAGTGAAACGGTTCCGCGAATTATATATACGTCGATTTCGTCTGCTCGGATAGTCGGTTACGAACATGATGCGATACGGGTCGGTTGGGGCGCCACAACATACTACTTGGGTTTGAGGGGAGGATCAATCGGCACGGTCGCATTCATGAACGTTTCACGACTATCGACATTCGATGCGACTTGACTATTGGGGATATAGTTTGACTGACGGGTTCTTTTTCTCGACTATAGGAGTCCACCCTCCACCTGGTCCTCCGTCTCCGTGGTGGTATCATCGAGCCCTCCCTTAAGGCTCTCGCCTCCAAGTACAACTGCGAGAAGTCCATCTGCCGCAAGTGCTACGTACGTCCATCCATCTATTCTACTTTTCTATTCTTCCGACTCGATCCCGCCCTCTTTTGAGTCCCGCCTAGCGAACCATTTCCCCACTAACATTGATGCTCCGATTAGGCCCGCCTTCCCCCCCGTGCCACCAACTGCCGCAAGAAGAAGTGTGGTCACACCAACCAGCTCCGCCCCAAGAAGAAGCTCAAATAGACGATTATCTTATTACGGTTTTTCTGCGTTGCTGGGGAAAAGAGCTGCTGGGGTTACGATACGATTGCAACGTGGGAGATTTTCTACATGGCGTTGGAATGATGAATCATTACTTATAGCCGAAGTCAAATGTCTATAGTTGACTCCTCGGGAAGAAGTTGCAATCAAAGCACAACCTGTAAAATTCAAAAAAAGCTCTCGTCGCATTCTTAGTAGATACACATACACATGCAGCATGGCTTGGAAGAGGGAAAACGTTCAACAGACAAAACGGTGAAAACGATATCAGAGATAACAACACTTGAGAACATAAACCAGCAAGTCGAGACATGACATGACATAATGCTGCCGGAGCAATGTCATGGTCCCATGTGAGGGGAAAGACAGCAACTGAACAGTATAACATCCGGAGGAAACGACACCGATACCAACACCTACATCTAGCACCTTTTCTTTTCTACCAACCACCGAACATCCGTCGCTTGTCGTCGTCGTGGTCATCGTCGTCATCATGGTCCTTGTTCTTCTTCGAAACAGGGCTTCCATGTCTGCATAAATTATCACGTTAGTCAGAACCCCTCACAGTAAGATAATCACACCGGAAGGGAGAATAGTAGAGAACCACTTACGCAAAGAACAAGATCTTAATAGCCAACGCAAACCCAGCATGCAGCACAATGACCAGAATCAGCAAGATCTTACTAGCCTTCGCATCCGTAGCACTCAAAACCGGGTACAGATTGCGCAGGAGGAAGAAGACAGTCCACCCGAACCCAACACCCACCAGAGCCCAGTTCAACGCCGTCAAAGGGCTCCAGCTAACAAGGGCGACGGCAATCCAAACCAGGTTCGAGTATCCATAGAGCGCCCACGACTCAACCAAGTCCGCGCTGGAGCTGCCGAACCACTTCAGCGCACCCCACAGCGCAATGGGGATGATGCCCGTGTATCCGTAAACCAAGCCCGCGGCGCCGGATAGCAAAGTGAAGTCGTATTCGAAGTGCTCGTCGTCATTGTTGGAGAGCCATTGCGAGATGGTGCCGGTCAGGAAGAGGATGACGACGACGGTGGTTGCGATCCAGAAGGGGCCGTAGAGGTCTGGGTTGCCTTCTAGGACGTCGAGGAAGTTGCTGCGCGGGTAAAGAGCTGCGACGCAGCGGCGGAGGACTTCGTTCGTGTCTACGTCGAAGAATTGCGAGTAGTAGTGGATCGACCACCAGTTGAGCTTGGAGGGTGTGCCGCCGGGGGATCGGTCACGGCCGCGCGATGAACCGCCGCCGAGGAAGGGGGCCGAGTCTTGTTGGGCCTTGGCATTGCGTTGGTCATTTTCGAAGTCTGAGATAGTGGAGGTAAGTAGGTGTGCATTGGGATGAGGTGGTGGTACTCAAGGCCAGCTAGCTTACTGGAACGGTGGAATTCGAGGTCTTCTTGGAGGTCGGTATGGCCGAGATCGCCCTGGGAATTGCTGTTAGTAGACTATGGTTACAGATGCGGACTGTTGACGGGGTCTTACTTCGGCGTCAACGTCCACTACCACGTCGTAGCCCTGGTTCGCCATTTTGGGCAGCTCACGTTCGTTTTCAAAGGTGGTTGTTGAGCTCTCGGTTCCTGGGTCCTGGGAGATGCGGGAATGCAAGAGTACACCTCAGCGGCTGCCGGGAAAGCCACGCACTAGCCACCATGTGGAGACTGTCCATCTATTCAACACGGGCTGACGCGGGCTGCGTTTCGCATTTTGTGCGTCCGCCTCTACTGGCTAATCTGTGTGCTGAGGCTGTTCTTCATCTCTCAAAACTATTATATTTCCTTTCTTATCACATATTTCTTCGTGTGCAGTAATATTACATATATTTCCCAAGCATAATTTTTTGTGAGCCGGTGCCTTTTTGTCTTTTCCCAATGGTGACATAAGGTTAAATGTAACCTCGGGCCTGCAAAGCCCCATGGAATCTACTGACATACGACCATATCGTATTGTCAAATCCCCTCTTCTTGATCCAGAACGACATAGCACCAATAAATATCGTCACAGCCACGGAGCCGATAGTCCGTCTGTGATTCCACAAGAAAGCAACGGTCTTCTCCTTCCGCTCCTCGTAACGTAGATGCCGTACTTGTTTCGCGAAGAGGCCGACTGTCTCATCAGGTGCTTGGATCCTGACAAGGTTCCGTGAAGACTTGAGCACACTGCACTCTGGAATGCGCTTCCAGGCCCCAAATGGTAGACTTTCCGGTGGGTGAGCTTCGAAAAGCTGCATCGCGCGGGATATCAGACCCTCAAGATCCAAGGGATTTGGAAGCTTGGACAGGGTAAAATGCAACATATCGGTTTCATCGACTGAAAACTCAAGTAATTCTTTCTTGCGCGAGAGGATGATGGCCGCAAAAAGGTATATGGAGACTACCGGTTCCTGGGCCAGCAGAAAGTCAAAAAGGCGTGCAATGTCACTATATTCTTGAATATCGTGCGAGTACATTGTTAGAGTCGCAGCGAGTGCAAAGAATGGTTTGATTTCGGCGAGATGACGTCGTAATGCAGGATCGGCCTTTTCGATGATCGCAGGGATCAGCTCTAGATGTTTCAGCGCCGGCGAAAGGGACGGCAACATGTAATCTCTTATCCGGAGAAGGGAAATTTGTGCAACAGCAGCAGCACTATTTTGGCCACCAAGCACTAATAGCAGGACTTGAACGATATCATGATAGCCTTGAAAGTAGCAGAGCATGGGAAAGCACCGCAAGACTTGCTTGATCAACTTGGAGAGCTCATCCTTCTTGATGGATAGCTCCTGGTCAGAGCCTGGTCAAGTTAGACACCACCGAGAGCCATAAAAAGGGTGACTTACATTCAGGGTAGTAGACGAACGACCTGTTCACGTCAAGCTGAACTTGTTCTTCGTCACTATGTGCAGGTAGTTGTTCCCATCCTGCAAAATCAAAATTGGGTCCACGTCGATCACACTGTAGAAGGATAGGCCCTGATAGAACGTCAGAAAGTGCATGTGAACGTTATAGGGTAGTTCTCACAGGCAGTTCGCCGGACATCATCGTTGAGGAAGCCACCTTCTGAGGTAGCATATGAGACTAGTGCATCAAAATCGCGCAAGTCGCATGCTTGACGAATGGCCGTTTCTTTCTCGGCTATGCGTCTTTCGAGCTCAGCATTCTTGAGCCTTTCTGACTCAAGGGCCTCGGCTTCGGCGGCAGACTTCTGCTCTGTTTCCAGACTTGTCTCCGCGATGTGGTCTGGCTCGTTATTCTCAGATGGCTGGTCCATCGTTGAGGCGGGCAGTGTATCTCAGAACACTGGTGTGTATAAAATTTGAGTCTCTGCAGGCCAGCCTCCGAATGAAACAACCCGACGATATAAATTAATTTTGTATCCCGATGTATAGCGTTAACAATGAGTAGTCTATACTTGGATGCAACGGATGAACGGGCCTCTCGCCAGGTCAGAGCTTGCTTTAGGGAAATCAACGCCCAGTATTCAATTCTGGTCCGGCCCTAGCTTCTCCAGATTAACCGACAGCACCGCAATCTAGGCAACGAAGTATCTATGGGATAACATAGGCGATATGCAAAGCCGGAGGTGACTGCGGCCATGGCCAAACCCAAAACGGACGCGTGGCCGCCTCAGGCCACACACCAGGTCTGTGTCCCGTGATCTGTGATTTGCTTGGTTTGATCTGTATCGCCGACCGCCCGAACGAGCAGGCGAGGCTTCGATGATCGATCCACTGCCCCTCCAGAACTTCTTACATGGCTGGCTGAGGTCTTCACGAGTCCCAGAGTCACTGTCGGTTTATTCGCAAGCAACAACTTCTGTCATCCTTGCAAATTTATCTTGCTGGTTCGCAAAGATAGCTGCAGACAATGCTGCAAACTCATAGTGGGCCGATGGCATCATACTAAAACCAAACATATTCAATTGACCTTCCCGCAAACCGCTTGGGTTCCACTGCTGGCCATCGTGTTTAATTCGACATACTACTTCCCCGCTGTCTGTGTCCCATAAACGCTTTTTCATTGTGAAACATAAACTTTTGGACAACCATATGGTGTTTAAGAGAATCGAGAAGCCGTCTCAGTGCATATCACCAGCACCACCGCAAGCGTTCGCATAAGATACCTTTGGAGTGTAAGTCCCGAATCCTTGCCCTGTGGCAGTCTTCCATAGATTGCAGTTTGCTGATACTTTACTAGCTTTCGGTTTTGCATAGCGGTATCATTTCTACAGAGGGAATTACTCTTTGATTTGTATTCGCATAGTAGCACGCGTTCTGTGTTCACTTCGCCTCTGGTGTCTCAGCACTTTCCTGACATGAAATTGCTTTCTCATATCATCCTAAGCATGAAAATTCTCAAACCATAGTTCTGAGAGACCACCCCTTCCATTCTTCCCTGAATTTTCAGCTCCACAGAATAAGGAGTCGGGATCCCTCGAAAAGCAGCTGTGGACACCGTTGGTCGGCTGTCATATCCTCTCGTTTTGATTTCCTTTTTCATCTTCGCGTCTTTCTTTCTTTCCATTTCGTGTCCTCCTCTCATTCTTTCGTTTGGCAAGGGATTTCTCTCTGATCCTACGGGCCCTGCTTTCCCCACAGTCAATAATAGTAGCTACCATGGCTACATCAGGAAGCGGTGCAGGATTAGCCGTAACTACTTCGGCGACCGGAGATTCTATGGACATCGAGACAGAGAACATATATTCTGCATCCCAGGCAAAAATTGGGCTATTGTCGCATACTCTAGTATCGAGTCCTATCATCCAGTGGATCCTCCCCGCGCACCTCAGAAGCAAAGACCAAAATGATGTCGTCTTCGTGGGTGAGCGGCATTTGCAAATCAAAGAAGCGGTATCGGGGGTTCACTTGGAGGAGGTCACTACCAAAAGTGACTTCGACTCATTTATCATGGCAGCAAAGGTCGTTAATGTCAGCACCGAATTGCCTTGGGAAGAGGAGATGAAGCTTGGGGCGAGCAATTCGACACTGCGCGCGAACTCGGACTTGCGCCAGGACCTTCCTCCACAAATATTGGTTCTTAGCCTTGCTTCGAAAGAGCTAG